GAAACACTTTTTTAAAAATTTTAGTTAACATTCCCTGGAATCGGTTAGTGATTTTAAGTGAGGGTTAAATTAATTCAGAGGCGTTGGATCTTACTAATTCTTTTATATCTCCCGTCAACCGTGTGTAGCTGGTGGCACCTGCCTGACATGAAGGTGAGGCGCTGTGGTGCGGCTGCTGCTGCCCTGCCAGACGGACGTCTCTTCGTTTTTGGCGGTGGCAGGGAGGGCAATGAGAATTCAGTGGAATTCTGCCGCTTAAATAATTGGAGCAAATTACGGGGTCCTGTCGCTTCCTCCTTCTGGCATCAAGCCCTACCAATGTCCTGGTGCAACCAGTGGAGACGTTACGAGCACGCAGCGGTCGCCTTCCATAACCGCATTTTTGTGGCTGGTGGGTGGCCCGATGAAAGAGAAGTGCAAATTTTCTGTCCACCGGCCTACGAAGACTATAATGCGTCCGGTCAATGGACTCGTCTTATGCTCCCTGAACATCAGATGAACTCGCAGCGTTCTGGCCTTTGCCTTCTCGTTCACAAGAACAGGCTTTTTGCCCTCGGTGGAGATGGTATGTAAAAACATTCCTGCTCATTTTACTGCGAGTTTACTTTAGCCTATAGCTCATTCTTCGAGCAAACTGAATTGAAAACTCATGTCTTTAGGAGAAATCACCGGCTCATTATGAATAAATAATTGCTGAATTGAGTTTTATATGCCCTAGATTGAAAGTTGGCTCACCTTGTCAGCTGTGAAATTTAAAAGATGCGCATAGAGGGTTTTCTTTAACTGTTCGTTTGCAATCGTTTGAGCATATATCTTTCATTAAAAAAAGAAAATTCGTTCCCACTAAATTGGTTTATCCGTTTCCTGTCACAAGTGAATCATTTTGATGCACCTTTTCTGAATAAATGTCGCCCCTTCAAACGAGAAAAACAGTTTATGTTTGTTCAGATACAAGTTAAACTATTTGTTTTTTTATTTCTTTCCCACTCGACAATGTGATTAGGTTGGAACAGCGTCGAGGAGTTTTTACCTGAAGAAGCGAAAAAGGAGGCCTCGAAAGAGGATGATTTCACTTCTTGGCACTGGCTGGAACAAACAGCACCAGCAAGCATCGATCTGATTATGGCGGCCACTGTCATCGGATCATGATAAAAGGCACTGTTTTGATCTTAACGATCGGTGTTTATAAATAAAAAGAATTCAAACCCTGTGAGTAACATTTACGAATTTCAATCTAACTAAGATCTATCCCAGCGGGCGTACTCACACGCACAGCGGCATCTTAAGAGAATTTACAGTTAATAGATAAAGTTTCTCAACATATGCGCAAGATTTGCAGAAAACTGGTGACTTAGTTACAAAATAAAATGGATACGGGAAAGAAGGGCGTGATACTTTATCAATTTTAAGATAAAAATTAAGAAGGTATAGTAGAAACCCAAAAATAAAAGTATTGTGGGAATTGCGGTGTGTTTTAGAGGTTTTCCTTATAACTTAGCTGGTTTTGCGCTGCTTATACGCTGTAAACAGACTGAGAGAAAAGCTAGGTTAACTTTCTTTCAAAAGCCAGCAGCATGTCACAACATCGCCTGAAAGCGCTAGCTAAGACAGCAGATTGTGTATGTTTTTTTCGTCATCTACCGTCATCAGTTCGTGAACACTTACTCAATGCAAAGTTACACCAGCATACTGCAATATACTGTGGCAGGTTTCACAAAAAGAACGTTGTTATAAGCATACCGCCTCCGGGATCTAATAATAAATTTCATTTAATTCAGAATTTGGCAATTCATCCTAAATATCGACATCTCTGCTTGATTGTTAGACAACAGGTTTACTGTTCTGCTACGTAAGTCATTGTCAGGGATAATTCAGGCGTAATCAAAATTTCAGCGTGTAGTGTGCTAGGTTTCTAAATTGTTCACTGGAATTTAAATTCCGTCCTACAGGCAGTGTGGTCCTAAATGCTTTTTCTGTGAAGGTAGAGGAGCGCTCATCGATTACATCCTAGAAGTAAGCGTGCAGTTGTGCCTTGGGGCTTAATATGCCATACCGTCCGCAATTGCACAGTGGCTATTTATATATACAGAATAACATTGCGGACAGAGACAAGGGATACTGGACTAATAGGTTCTGTCCTTAAACTTTCATCAGCCTGCCACGCCAAACTTCAGATCTTTGCGACCTAAGAAGCTCGAACACGCACCCTATTGGTTACAGGTCTTACGCACCTCCTCTTGGGATACAAACTGTTTGATCGTTTGGTTGCGACGCGGATAATAACGACCGATGGTACAACGAGCCCTTATCTCAATGTCAAAAGTCTTATACTTCTAACCAATAGAATTCGGGTTCGAGACTTAAAGATTAAAACGTCTAGGGTTGGTTATGGCTGACTGATGACGACGTATGAACCAGAAACCGGCGCTCCAGTTTACCTGTTCCGTCGGCAATTTTATGCTGCTAGCACTGCAATTAACACTGATCAAAACAACTTGGGTAGACACGCAATTATATTATTTCCAAAAAAATAATATAGCTGTTTCCCGCTCATAGATATAAGATTAATGGCAAAGAAGATAAAATAAT